ACCACCTGTGCCCCTCAGGTCCCACGTACTCCAGTCCCAAGGGCTATTTGGTTACTTGCTATTAACCACATCTTGCTCTGTGTGCCCCCTGCCTTTTCAACTTCAGTCACTCAAACTTGAGGGCTCTGTGGAAACTTGCCTGATAAACTGATGTGCCAGCTTAAGTGTCTATTCCTTAGCGCACTTTTCATGATTGCCCCAGACAGCATTAACCAGTCCCTTCTCTGTGCAACCTATACCAGGAACGTCGCTTTGTCCGGTATGGACGCCTCTTACCATCCTGTCCCTCATTCACTCCCACCAGCCATCCATAAGGCCTCCATGGGTGTCCAGAACACACCGGCCACATTCCCATCTTAGGGACTTTCCATTGCTTCTTCCTTTTGTTTGGAATTCTCATCCCCCAGATATGCACTTAGCTACATCCCTAGTTTCTTCAAGCATTTACTCAGACAGCACATTCTCAATGAAGCCTAGCCCAGTCCCAATTCCAGTCCCCATGCCCACATCCTGATCCCCTTTCCCTGTTCTACTTTGTCTTTCATTCTCAGAACTTATCACCCTCTAACATCACCTATAACGTATTGTGATTTTTCTATCTCTGCATTTAGAATATGAACTCCACAGGGCAGTGATCTCTGTTTGGTTCACTGAAGTATCGTAGGCACCTAGAACAGGGCCTGGCACATAGTAGGTGCTCTACATTATTTATACTGAATAAATGAATGAACACGCCTCCTTTTCTGTATCTATAAAATGAGAGGCTGAATTAAATCGTCCCTGAGGTTGCTCCCAACTCCAATACTCCAAGACTCTAGAAAATATAGAACAAGGCACCAACCTGCCACCTTCACCTCCAAAGTAGCCTTTTCATAGAAGCGTCCCTTTCTGAAGAAGCAGGTGTACTGCCCATTGTCAGAAATCCGGACCTTGTCAATGCGCACAGCAGCCTCCCCCTGGGTGAGGAAGTCCTTCACCAGGGAGGTCCTCCCTGCGTACTGTGGCATCTGTCTCTCCTTCCGCTCCCGCTGGTTCTGATAGATGAACACGGCTTCTGAGTACTTGGAACGGAACCAGCGCAGCTCCATGTTCTCTGCACTTATGCCTGGGATCAGGGAGCAGGGCAGCATGGTGTCCCTGCCCAGCACTGCCACAATGGAGTCTGTGGGGCCAATCACCAGGAACTCGTCTGTGGACAAAACATGAGAGTGAGAAAGCTGAAGAGGCAAAGGCAGAGGGTGGGAGAATACACACTATCAGGTAAACATTGGAGATGACCCCCAGCTCCTGAAGGAATGAGCTGTGAGGACTCTGAATGCAGGGAGATACTCTGACCAAAACATCATGGCGTAGAAATGATGTCAAAGGGCCACCCTCATGTGGCTGGGCACCTGGTCCTAGGCCCTTCTGTGAAACACTCTTTAACTCCTTGGATCTCAAGCTTGAGTGTGCTTCAGAATCACTCACAGGGTTGTAAAACACAGATCTCTGGACCTCATCCCCAAAATTTCTCATTCAGTAGGTCTAGGGGAGGTCCAAACTGTGCATTTCTAAGGAGTTCCACCAAGGCGTTGGTGAGTCAATGGTACAAGTCTAGCTTCCCATGTAGACACAGCAGCTTTTGGTTCATTGTTCATATGGTCAACATGACTCAAGGCCAACTTACACCAGCTAATCACCACAATAACAAAGAGTTCCAGGGATGTGGATATGTTGGTTCAGGGACCACATTTTGAGAACCACAGCCCCATCTCAGGACAGGACTGAAAA